CCTCCCTCTTCCGAGACACAATGACTGCATGAAGATGCGAGCGACCGCCCGAGTGACACTCGCCTGCCCCTGACCTTGACCATGCCCCCCCTTTTGAGCAGGGACTGACCGTCCCGGCATGAACCCGATGTGTTAAGACAAGGCAGCCCCGGCCAGAAATGTTCTGAGAACATTTCGTGGGAACCACAAGAAGTTCTTAGAACATTGTTTGGTGGGGATCCCAAGACCGTGCGGTGACAGACCGTGCGGTGACCTCGGAACCCCAAGAGACCTCACCGCACGGTCCGTCACCACACAGTTTTGGGACCCTGGAGGCTCCAGTCGCCCAAGACATCCTCGGAGAACGACCCAAGTCCCAAAACCGCGTGGTGACCCCGAATCCCCACCGACTCACCACACGGTGTGGTCACCACCCCGTTTGGGGGCCCCCGAGTTTGGCGGGGCGATAGGCGAGCCCGGGACGCTTCGCCACTGCTTGACCCTCTGCCCGGAACTCTCGGCCACACCGTGCTCTCAATCCGAGGGCAGTGGCGGTCCACCAGTCGACGGCACGCCAACGCACAGGAAGGGGCCCTGGGACACACAAAGAAATACACACAAATAGAACAGATCCCCATAGTTTCCCATGTGTTCTGGGTTCTTGTCTTCCCCCCCCCCACTTCCCAGATAGTTTCCCATATTTCCGGGGGAAGCGAGGATTAATTGTGTCTGTGTGTTTCTTTTCCTCCTGACATATGTTCTGGGCTTTTGTCTTCCACCCCTACTTCCCATATTTTCCCATATTTCCTTGAAAATCGAGGATTAGTTGTGTCTGTCTGTGGTTTTTCCCTCCTGCGAACAGCCCGTCGGACGGTGCGGCGCGCGCGCGGCGGCTAGCGCAGGCGGCCGGCGTGGGGCGAGCGGCGCCTCCGCCGGCCGGCAGCCGGCCCTCCGCCTGTGGAAGAAGCGGCCTCGTGATACTTGCGCGGGCGTCCGCCGCCCTGAGGCTCGGGTCGGGCGAAAGGGGGGGATAGCAAAGGGGGGGGTTGAGAATCAGCTCACGTAATTAGCTGATTTTCCCGGCGACTCCCGGCGCCGGGAGGCGCCCATGTATCGAGGAATGGGCCGCTCGGTGAGGCCGAAACCAGCTGCATGCAGCAAATTTCGTAACCCCCCCTTTCCCAATCCCCCCCTTTCGCCTGGCCCGAGCCTTCTGCCGTGGAAGCAGCGGCAATTCCGTCGATCCTCGAAGACGGACACGTCTGGAGCGCCGCACTTGGCAGGAGCCCTCGCCCCAGAAGTGCACCAACTGAGCCCCGCCGGCAGACCGTCGCCACGGACGCAGCTCTCAAGACTAGGGCAACTCACTTGCCGATCGCCCCCGCTGCACTGGAGGACCCAGCGTTCCCTTGGAAACCCTGAGAGGTGGATCCTGGGCGACGGGACCACATAAGTGGAGACTGAAACTCAACTCGGGAGCGGCCAAGAGGGGGGTGTCCAAGAGGGGGGGGGTACAAATCATGACCAGCGGCATGTGCGCGGCCCAGCGGGGGGGCCAGGGACGCAATGAAATAAGAAGAGGCGCCATGAAATCTGAGGAAATATCATGGCCCACGCCATGATATCCACCCCCCCTAGTCATCACCCCCCTCTTTTCCGCCCCCAAGAAACTCAACAACCACATCCAAGTTCGAAAACTGAAGCTGAACGTGCCCGCACGTGCTCTCCAGCGGTGTCCAGCTCTGGGGCAGCCTGCATCCAGCAGCACACGTGTTAGCTGTTAGCACCAGAATCCAATCCTCCGTCGGCCAAGGAAATCTCCTCGTGGAGCCGGACAAAAATCTCCTCTTCGCTCGGACAAAATCCCGGGAGCCCCCCGGAGAATTTCCCCGTTCGCCCTGAAAAAATCCCTCGCTCGACCGAATACAAGTTCCCCGTTCGCGACCGAATGTCCCAATTCGCGGCTGGATTTCCTCGTTCGCGTGTTCACCTCTGGTCGGACCAATTCTCCGACCTGCGCCCAGCCGTGGCTACGAGAACCTCCGCAATTAAGCATCAAGAAACCGAGACGATGGCCTCGATGAAGCGAGCGCGCAGGTGTTTCTGTTGTCAACTACGATTACTAGAACCAAGTGCGCACGCTTCCATTCTAGCGACTCGACGAGGGCAGCGTCGCAACAACTGACGGACACCTATAGAATCCGAGTCATCACCCATCACCAATCACCCTGCGGGAATACCTGTGCAACCTCAAAGATCCGAGTAACATGAGGGACGCTTGTATATGCTGCTTCAAAATGCCGCGGGACTGCCGAGCACAGACTGGGGACGAGAAGCGTGTCCCTGGGTACAGGTTGAGAGATGTGGGGATCACATGCGGCGAGGAAATCCCAGCATCGGAAGTGAAGGTAGTGCGTCTGAACCGTGTGACAGCCATGTGGCCGACTCTGGGAAATCTTGAACCATTCTGATCGCAGGCGCTGGCCTCTCTTTGGGGGGGCAGCTCTGCGAAGCGAGGGTGAATCTCTCTCTGTTTCTCTCTCTCTCTCTCTCTCTCTCTCTCTCTCTATATATATATATATAAATACACATATCGATCTATATATGTAAAAATGTGTATATCACAAGACTGCGCCATGCACTTTGACCCTTGAGACTCGGCATGCAGACAGGAGGGCAACAAGATAAAACGTTGTTGTCAGTTCCAACATCGTCGCTGTAATAAAACGGTTCGTCATCCTTCCCTCATGATTCCGCTTCCTCATTCTCGCCCTGCCCCGCGAATTCGTTCCCATCCTCAGCTCTTTTTGCGGATTGTCATCCTAGGAGAGCCTTTTGGGGGCTTCACGAAAACTGTAAGGGCTTGTTGGGGCCTTCTGGAGGCCTCTGGGGTTCCTTCTGGGGGCCTCGAGGCGCTTCCCTGGGCCACCCTGCCTCCAACTGCGGCCTCCCTGAACGACCGGGTCACGATTTGGAATGATTCGGGGGGCGTCTTGGAGCCATCTTGGGCCGTCATAGGGCTCTCTTCGGGCAATCTTGGGGCACTGTTGGGCCATCTCGGGGCTCCTCTTGGACTGCCTGGAAGAAGTCTTGTTTCAATTTGGGGCGATTCTATGGCCTCCCGGGCGGTCTCGGACGCCAGGAAGACCGAAGAACAGAGCATCCCCCAAATCATACAAAACCATGGGAAGTCAATGCTGTTGTGCGTTTAAAATGCCTCTCAGGGGGTCGTTGGGTCGTCTTCGGGCGTCTGGTGGGCGTCTGGGGCCTCTGTGGGTTCTCGCGGCCGTTCGGCCGACCTCCTGACTGATTTGGGCCCGTCGAGGAGGCCCAGCAGAGGCTTCGGGAGCCCCGAGGCACAGGTGACCATCTGCTTAAGGGCGTCCAGGGTGTCCCCGGAGCCAAGGATCTGGGAAGGGCGCTCCGGTTAGGGTTGTGGATGGCACGGCAATGGACACCCTAACAATCCTATCATCGAATTAAAACTGTGTTTTAAATGTAGAAAAAATGCACTGGAAATGTTTCAACCATGTACGTTACATGCTTTAAGCAGTTTTAACACATGTTCCAGACATCTGGAATTATTTTGCAGCATGCTTCCTCTCCATTGATCGTCCTCCACAACGTTAAGGGGGGGTGGGGGGGCGCAGGGCCTCCAGTTATAGCGATATAGAAAAGGGGACATAAATATATATATATGTATATCCACACGTATCTATATATACATATGCGTATATATACACATACATAGCTATGTACACACGTCTATATAGATACCCATACATAGATACATACATATGTGTGTAAATATATAATAAATATATACCCACACGCATATTTATATTTATACATATATATGTGTGTATAGATCCGTAGCCACCCTCTGCCGAGGTCCCCGAAGACCGATCCCCCAGGCGGCGGTCATGGTTAACTTAGAGGGCAGAAGATCCACCCCGACAATGACCACCCCGACACGCGAGGCCGTTCGGCAAACACACCCAGAGATAAGAAATCAAACAGGGCAGGGCTGCTCAGCAAACGCCCAGGGCCGTTTCGGAAACGCCAACTGTCCAGTCCGGGTGGTCTTTCCTCCCTTGACAAATCCCCGCCTCGGAGGCTCGCTTCCGCTGGCATCCACCGAGTGGATATATACGTGTGGATACATACATATTTGCGTGTGGATCTATACGGATCTATATAATAGATGTATACATATATAGACGTGTGGATATATACGTGTGTGAACATATATATACACGCGTGGATCTATATATATACCCTTTTCTATATCGTTATAGCCCGCTTCCGCTCTCGCTCCGCTTCCGCCGACCGCCGCGAGCCCCCGGCCAGCCTCCGCCGAGGGCGAGGAGCTCCGCTCCTCGAGGCGCCGAGGGCGAGACGTTCCCCGGACCACCCAGAGGGGCTCGTGCCTGCCAGCGGGGCCCTTGTCGGGTGTAGGAGGAGGAGGAGGAGGAGGAGGAGGAGGAGGAGGAGGAGGAGGAAGAGGAGGAGGGGGGGGAGGGGGCGTGTTCCCAGAAGTGCCCCTGGGCCAAGGCGCCCCCAGGACTTCCACGGGAGGTGCCCATGGCCTCCACGGAGCACCCCATCGCGAGGCCCGGAGGGCCCCCGCGGCTCCGACGTGGAGCGACAAGCTGGGGGCACCGTGGGCCAGGGGCGCCTCTGGCAACCTCCGACCTTGGGCATGGACTAAGCGAGATAGATCTTCAGACCCCCCCCCAATAGGGGAGACCCACTCTCACTTCGACGCCCTTACTGGCGGACTGGAGTGTTCCACCAATAGCTGAAGATTGGTTCTCCGCGCCACCCGCCGCGCAACAACGACGACTACGACTACGACGACTACGACGGAGGAGGAGGAGGAGGAGCAGGAGGACGGGGCGGAGTTGATTCCCCGCCGGGAGAAACATGGAGGGGTGCAAAACTAAAGATCTCCTAGGGTTAGGGCCCTCGGCGGCAGCCAGCGGCAGTCGGCCGCTGCCGCGCAAACCACGGCGAGGGGG